TTTAGTAATAAAATGAAATGTGTGTTTTATATATATATATATACTAACATGCAATATCTATTTTGTCTGTATTTCCTATTGTTGTATTATATGTAGTAGTATAATATTGGCATTCCAAAGGTATTTCTGGGGAAAAATAATATTTAATGAAATCATTTTAGTGTGTTTATCAAAAATGCATAAAATAAAAATTTAATATTGTGACACAAAAAATTAAGCTAAAAGTACAGTACTTTCTATTTTTGGTAGTGTAGGAAAGTCATATTTCCAGTTCAAAAGGTTTAGTAACTCTTTGTATTTCACATTTTTATCCTTGTGTATTTGAAGAAGATTCAATAGAGGTGTCAAAAATGTTTCATTTATATGTATTTTATGTTTAGTTAAAATAGAAAAAACTTTGTCTTTTGGTAATGTGCTTGTATAATCCTATAAATACATAAACTTTTTTATAAAATGTTAATAAATGTTGAATAGTCTCTAACAATAGTTTAAAATATTTTGTATGATACTTTATCAAAACATAATAAATCTTCATAGATATCTGAAAATGAAATTTCTGGAACACACTGTTTCAATCTCTGACGTAAAGAATTTATATATTGCAAGTATTTTTGCTGCACTATCATTTCGTTATTTACAGAGTAATTATTTAAAATGTCTAATTTTTCAGATATTTCTTTTTTTTCATCTGTTTTACCATGTATCATATTCATATATAAATATGCATTCTTTAAATTTCTGAAAAAATTTAAATAACTTGAAAATTCAAAAACAAAAATATCATACAATTTTCCTTAAAGTAAGTATTTGCAATAATTACAATAGAATGCAAAATAACATACTATATGTAAAATTAATTTTTGTATTTTCACAATATTTTTAGATGAGTCTAGTAACTGGACCAGACTATAACTCTTCCTACTGAAGACAAAAAAAAATTGTAGAGGAAAATTTTGCATTATTTAACAAGCTCTATTATCGTGTAGTGTGATTTTTTACAGAAATGCACCTGTGCAGTTGCATTTGTTTTTTAAATGCAACCCTATGATTTTTTTTACAGAAAGGTACAGAATTGTAGTCTGGCCTAGTTACTAGACACCCTGTATATGAGTCAATAAATAAAATTTTATTTTTCCATTTAACATAAAAGTTTCTACAATAACTTAACCATATACTTTCTTTTATTAATTAAATGATTTTTTGTTAATAATATAATTAAGTAACTTTACATAATTAGTTTAAAAATTGTATTTGTTACTTTGCTTTTCCAATATGGAAATGTGAACGTTCCATGAAATCTGCTAAGTTAATGTTTACTATTGTATTGGAGTCAGCATTAAACCATCTTAAAAGATTTTTTACTCGTACACCTTCAATATTAGTATTGCTTGATTTCCCAAAGCATAAATTTTGATCAAATGGTTTGTGATAACTGGAAATATAATTTTAAGTTTTTTATTACATAAATTATTAATCACCAATTGATTATCTTATTATTTCATACTGTCTTTTCATTTGTTCTGCAGGTAAATAACTATTATGACTCTTTTTATACAACTCAAAAACATTCAGCTCTGAAATATTAGTTTTTATTGCTTCTCCTTTGAGAAGTGTAGCCATAGTTTCTCCTAATTAGTAAAAAATATTTTATGAATGTATTTTATGAACTATACTTAATTGAAAAATTTAGTAAGAAATTGAAAGTATACATAATAACAGATATAATAATTGGTAGTTCATACCAGATGAAATTTTTTTTCCAAAAGTCACGTCTAATGGATTCATACCTATTGGAAGATTTGGAATTTGATAATGTGTTTTACCTACTTCATTGTTCCAATAACTATTTATCACAGTATTTTTTAATTCAGAGATAATTGTTTGAAATGGTGTCTCTTCATTTGGTTGTAAACATTCTTTCACCTTAAATAATTAATAAAATGTATAAATCATATTTCAGTATTACGTTCATAAGTATGATATAATAATATTTACATTACCACTGTTGTTGATTACACAAATTTTATTAATAAAGGATCATAAAATATGAAAAAAATAAATGTAAATGTAGTTCTGAAAGTATTAATTGTTGAAAAAGTGTATTATAATGTACTTGAATCTTACACCAATTGTTTGTTTTATATTACATATATTATTTATGTGCTGTAACTCTTGTGAATGCTTTCCATTATGAATAAGTACATTTTTCAAAGCTTCAACTTTGTCTTCTAAAGAATATTCTGTAAAACATTCCTTAATACTGGATGTTGGGGATTTATAATTTTTCTATAAACAATAAGTCATAATGCTATTAAAAGTAAATATTTATGCATCTGTCATTATTTTGAATACATAAAAAATAATTATATTATTATTGAACATTCTTTTCAAAATTCAGTTGTATTTTCTATTGATTTTAGTGAACAATTGTTATATCCATATTTAAGTAGTAATGTATTTATTGAAAAAATAGTAATAATTTGTTAATATACGTAATCTTACGAATTTCTTGTCATAACAATTTTTATTTTCATTAATTATATTCAACGGTATATTTTCTGCATTTCTAGAACATTCTTTCATCTTAAAATAAGATATTAAATACGTAACAAAGCTTGAAATATAATATTATCAATCAGTGCCGTTGATATTGTACTAAATAACATAAAATGAAAATATAATGAATTGCATTAACCAACATATAACGATCTTATAAACAACGAAAACAAAATACGAAGGTTGCACATATTATCATTATTTGAACTTAATGGCCTAAATTAATTTTTTGGAAAATTAAGAAATATATTTTAAACGTCTACAATAATACTACAATTGGTCAGACGCCATATGTCCTGTATAAATATGTATGTAGTTTAAATGTAAAGCTGTGATTTTTATTTCATATTTTTGTTAATATATTTGTGTATACAATGTCTGCTTATTTTTAATGCATGAAAGTCAAGCAATTAGTCAGATAAAATAAATATTCTACAATTCAAGCAATTTCGTTTAAAAATTGTGTACAAAAAGTATGTTAATAAACTTTCGTAGAATGTAAATGTTACATTTTAGTTTTAATCATTATTATAAATCCACAAATGTTAGCTAT